TTTAGGACAGATTTCGTTCTTTGCAATGAAAATCCCTACAATCACGGGTCAGCACGCATCGTAGATGTAAAGACGAATTAACGCACCTCATTTTGGATCTATAGGATTAATTAGATGTAGCAACCGTGTCTTGATATAGTTTTAACAAGCAATTACCGTTAATGATAATCTTTGAGTGCAAAGGCTTTGGCAGGAGTCAATATCGACGTTGATGATGCGATCAAGTTCATTTTCGAGTTGTTTACCCTCGACAGCGATGTACTGGGTGATGTAGGGAGCATAGCATTGAGCTGGAATTATTTACATATTTTTGGACAATTGCGAAATAATGAAATTTGTTTTCAAAACCGACATCCAGCACAGTTGTTGTCCATGTAGATCACAGTATCTTCAACTTCATCGGCGAAGAGATCTGGCCTGCAAATAATCTTCTGAAGCTAGGACAGATGAAAAAACCAGCAAATAATAACTTTTTCCCAATGATAATGTTATCAATCTCGATTCAAAACTTTCACATTTATTTTGTTTGTTGATAAATTACTAAGGCGAGTCTTGATCGTAACCAAGGTGATTTAGCGAAATAGATTTAGTGTGATTCTTTCAGTAAAAAATCATGAATTGAGTTAGCATGGGATGAAGACGAGTAAGCTGAGAGCTTTCTGCTCGTAGCCAAAGAGCGGAAAGCTTTCGGCGGACTATCAAAAACAAGCTAAATGACTTTCCACCTTAGTTACGGTGGATCCTCCTGAATTTTATCAATATTTTTACCTGTCTAGACGATCCTCGGTGTTGAGGATACATTCCTGATCTACTGGATAGAACATGACAGATTCGCACTCGAAGCCAAAAGTATCGAATGAGTTCAAGCAGGCACTCATACAGACCTGAAGAATTCAACGTTATCAATTTTAATACGAGATCCCAACCAGTCGGGTTAATGAAAGAGACGAAAAATTGTAATCACGAGACTTTCCTAGTTAAGACCAAGCCAGACTCTTATCATGAGTGGACTCAAAAATCATGGAGATATATTAAGACACAATGTGCTTATCGAAGTGAAAACTGGTCTTAAGCAACTTTTGAATTTTGGTTATAAAGAGGGTTACAGACTAAACTGTAGTAGCATGCTTATGATAGTACGGTTGAGCGTTCACAACTAAAATACAAATCTGCAACCTTTCACTTATCTTCAAATCATTTTTATCATCATGTTCTACCGCATAACACCTCTACCTTCTTTCGATGCTTTCCTTTTTGATCCGACTTTCTCTTTTTCTCCCAAAGTGCATGTCACCAACCTGAATGTCCTCAGCGGGCACGACCTCTCGTGC